TTAAGTAGCCCGCCACTGACAAAAATCGACCACTACGAAAGGTCGATACGCCGTTTAAATTGGCTACGGAAAATTATTCGAACGATCTATTTCCGACGGTGAAATATGCAAGTATGCTCTAAATATACAGTGCCATGCTGTACCATGAGTGCATAGGTGGATAAAAATAGCTCAACAATAATGCCGTTGCTTTCAACGATTTCATCACTGAACGTCGTCATCTCGATCATCGTTGATATAAATTAAATACAACAAACTTCGTGAAATTTCTACAACGATCTTAATTTAATCAACGCATGTCAATAATATCGAAACAGACTACATATGTATATCCTGATTTCTCTACGTCTTAACGTTAAACATGTGAAGAATTCGTTATACATTCGTTCAGAGAGATTCAATTTGTCATTCTATTCGTTTTAATCGCCGCTTATTCGATTTAAAAGAAAGATCACGAGGTGTGAGTGGAAAAGAATTGATGGGAAAATGATTTCGAGCGGGTTTGATTTAGCAGCACGTGAATCGCCATTACTACATGGAAACCAGCGTCTAAGACGTTTCCTCCTCTACTTTATTTTCGTTAGCGGACACACGCCGGCAAATGCTACGACGTCCGTGAGAAATAACTGTTAAATGGTGCGCATGATTGTTTCCAACGAGGACGTATTAAATTTTCAGTTACAGCCCATTTATAATGGAATCCTCGATAACTGTCTTTAAGAGCCTTGTTGACATTAATCATTCGCATTTGGAACCATTTCTCCTATCTAATTACGCACTCGAGGCGTAAAATTAGAAATAATGAGACACTGAATTACTCAACAGACATAGAAAATCTTAACATATTCGCTAAAGATTTATTTTTTGCAATTAAGAACTCGGAACAAATTCATTATTTTTTATAACAGAATACTATTTTTCGTGTATATTTAGGAAATTGGAAAATTGTAGTTTTTCAAAATTTATCGTGTAAAGTAGCTAAAGCGTTACTTTTGCGTATAAAGAGTTTACAATAAGGGAGAATTCGTAACAAAATTCATAGTGAAGGAAAACGTTAAGTACTATCAAACCACGATAATATTAAAACTAATAATTTGTTATCAATTTTCTATGAACCTTCCAACCACACTTCGTGATTAAGAGTATCAGCACCGGAAGTGTGTACAAAAATGTGTATAAGCACCGGATTCTTCGTAGATAAAAACGTTCTCAACAGTCGTAAGGGATAAATCGTCTGTATCAAAAAGAGTGCTAGAGCAGGGCTGTCCACAGGAGGAGCCACTGTCGCCGTATATTCTCCTATTATTTGTAACAGACGAGAATCGCTCGCTATAGTAGAGGCTGCGAGTATTAGCCGCTCAAGGACACTTTGCACATTTTTTTTTTTCTTCACGAATCTCGCACACTTATAGTTTTTTGTTTTTCATGTAGATACGATAGATTCATGGGTAACACTTTGAACTTCCGGCGTATTCGTCACTGTAACAAGATTTTTGCCTTTCTTTCCGCGGCAATACGCCTTCCTCAGCTTTCGAATGTCCTCTAGCGGCATAGTGGGGTTCATTTCTAACGAAATCTTGACACGTCGAGCACCAAATCACCGCTTGTGGACAGAGAACCTGTTATTACTTATTATTTCCTATTTGGAACGCTGTCGTATGCCTATTAGCGGTCATTCGGAATAAAATAGACTTTCCTCGTAAAAAAAAAATCATACAGAAAAGACGTACACTATTCCTTATAAGTATTTGTCTAACCATTTACTTGTAATGTCCTTTGTTCCAGGCAATCTTTTTAAATTTTGAACGTTGAAAAGATTCATATCTTCTTCTTTAAATTCTCCAAAATATGTCTTTAAAGTATCTCCTCAAAATGAATAAAAACTTGTGTGATCTTTTCTACAAAAAGAAATAGTGCTTTTGAAAATTCTGAATTAAAAGAAAAACGAACAAGCAAATACTTGTGCTTCTATACATAAGTCACAGAAAATTTGTTAATTTCCAAGAAAATCTTGATTAAAGTACATTTGCAAATTCAACGTCTTCCTTACAGTACAACGTACGTTCATTCTGTGACTTATAGACAGAAGTATCCTACAGCGACAGTGCGAAATACTTGTGCTTCTATACATAAGTCACAGCAAATTTGTTAATTTCCAAGAAAATCTTGATTAAAGTACATTTGCAAATTCAACGTCTTTCTTACAGTACAACGTACGTTCATTCTGTGACTTATAGACAGAAGTATCCTACAGCGACAGTGCGCAACGAAACAATAAAAAAACAAAACTGTACAAAAGAACGCAGAGTCTCAGGCATGTCTATTCACCACTCAACGTGTCAAGCAACCGACTCTTAACAACAATATCATCCCTACCATAACAACAAACCACCGAATGCGACTCTTTCCTACTTCTTATGCTCGCGTCCGGCATCAAGGTCTCCCTAAAACCAAAAACATATTAGCCAATAACCAGACTGTTCCTCGTGCTCCAATGAACAGCTCCAGTCTAGGTGAAACACTAGCTACTGTAACAAGTCTTGCGCACGTCGGCAAGTATTACACTGAAGTCGTCTTCCGGCTTCGACATATGCTCCATGCTCTGCGTCTGTTGTCCTTGTTGCTGCTGCTGCTGCTGTTGCTGCTGTTGCTGCTGCTGCTGTTGTTGTTGCTGCTGGGACGAATGTTCTTGATACTTGGCCACGTCTATAGCCTGATGATATTGGTCCATCGAGTGACCTATAGCCACGTTCGCGCATCGTCCGTCCTTCGACTGATTCTCAACAATGCACTGAGAGTTCGACATGTCCAATTGAGTCTGCTGTGGAGTATAGTAACGCAGATCACTGGCATAATTATGGTTGCTATCAAGGAGATTCTGCGAGGTGAGGCTAGTGTGTGCTACACTGCTTGGATGAGAGTATTTGAAGTATTTCTCCAATTGTAGTGTCTGTTGCTGTTCCTCGTCAGCGCTCGCTGCCATTGCTGCCTCCATGTGGCCTAGAATTGGATGCTGTTGGCCAGTACTGGTCCCCTCGGTTTGGTACTCTTGGTGATGAGTCATTTGGTACCGGTGGGATACACCTGAAAATAAATCGGTCGTCTCTGAAAAATGGCCGCGTCGCGTCTCCTTCCGCGCGTGACACCGCGAATAAAGGGGCTATTATGCGCGGAGGAGGAAACGACGGGATCTTCAGATGGTAGAGTTTATTCAGCTCGGACAACCAGTTCGTTTGTACGAAAATGGCATCGAGTTGGGGGTGTTGGGACAATTAACATAGCTAAGATGGCGTACTGTGGAGGATCGGCTTGGGTGTCAGAAGCGAGTTGTTGTTCTGAAATTGCGATTTTGTCGGACTTTTGTGTGGTGGATTTAAGTATGACTGAGATAGCGTACTACATGATAGTGACTACTGAATGAAGGATAAAACAAATGTGAATATTTGTTATCAGCAAATAGGAACATTTAAATAAAGGAAATAAACAAAAAGTATGATAGTGATGGAATAGAAGTAACAATAGTAATTTTGTTAGTTAGTGTAAATTACTTTAGGTACTCTGCAATTAATTATCTTGGTACATTTTCTATCCTGAATATTGACGTTGGTATGAAAGGTATTTTATAATAGGTGTGGAGTAAAATTAGTGGAGAAGAATAGTGAAGAAGAAGGGTAGGAAATTTAAGTATAACCTATTCGCTCGATTGAGTTTGTCACGTGAGCGAAGATTTGTGTTACATTGAACGTTTTCAAAAATAACTTATCTTCACTTACCACAGCTTCTTCTTTTTTTTTTATTAAGACACCAGAAACAGAGCACGTGATAATTCACGATCTGTCCGCAACTTGTCAACAGTTTGAAAATCCCCACGTTTCATGTTACATCGTTACAAACAGCCGAACAGAGACGTCTCTCCAGCAGTTGGCAAAGTATTGAGAAATTGCTTGTATTGTTTGTGCACGCCTGTGTTATTTATATTGTCTTCATAGCGTATTGTTTTAAAAGTTGTATATATATTATATGTTATATTACGCGTTTTATAAGAAAGGAACACAGTTGAAATTCGATTTTGGTGGATTATTTATTTAGAATTCATGATCAATGTTAGAAAAAAGTGAGCTCTGTCATTAGTTATCTTTTATCCGCATAAACTTTATCATCCTATTTTATAGCTAAATTAGCAATAATTGTAATCTACTATTTTACACCTTGGTCCAATTTCCAACTGCAGAATATATCAACAAAGTTTTCACAGAAACTTATGGACGCTCTGACAAAAGCTGACACAACACGAGGAATTTTTTATTAAAAACCAATCTTACATTCCTTCTAAATGTTGCAACAAAACTAGCCCCAAAAAAATGGGAAGAAATTCTAAAAAGATAAAAAAAAAAAAGAAAAAGAAAATGAATCTTTCGCTTCCTGATTTAAGATATTACCAACAAATTGTTCTATCAAATCCTCCCAGAGGCACCAGAACGCTTCGATTCTCGTCGAACATCAAGATCAATAGGAACATTGAAACGAACGTCTCAGGGAAGGAGTGGAAAAGAAGAAGCACAAGAGCGTTTCAACAATACGTCCTCGACCTCTGGATCTGGTCCAAGTGTAAAACAGGACATAATAAGTAAAAAATGAAGGAAGCATTACCGGAACAACCTTCGGCGGCTCCGCGAATCCCCATGGACTGCTGTCGATTGGCACACTGAACAGGATTATAGTTGGTCTCGACGGTGGACTGCATCGAATAGTTGGCAGTTTTCGAGGACTGGGTGCTGGTATAGTGTTGCAACGATTGATCGTGCGGGGATGCAACCGGCGGATAAAAAGTTCCCGTCACAGAGCCAACATTCTCAAAACCCGAGCGCAATTTATTGCACGACACCATCATACCATTTGCTATACCCACCGCGGCTATACTCGACGGCTGTCTCTCGAAATTCAAGTAACTCACCTGGAAATAGACGATGACGGAACTTTCACGTGTGTTCTTCTTTCTTTCTTTTTTCTGCGATCTCAACACTTTACCGACCGGTAGCCTATTAATCGCTTTTCTGCCGCCCACACTTACCGACCGGTAGCCTATTAATCGCTTTTCTACCGCCGACGCTTACCGACCGATAAGCCTATTAATCGCTTTTCTGCCGCCGACGCTTTTCGACCGATAGTCTATTAATCGGTCAAAGTTTGATTTAACATTTCTATAGGTATAAGAAAAAGCGCATATATTCCCGTATCTGTGGCCGAGTGAGCGGTCGGAAATGCCTAGGATGATCAACCGCTACCGGTCGGTAAAGTGTTAACTGAGATATATTTTCTAGCACTAAGGGCTGTAACGTGACGAATGAAATGGATATTTTCTAGGTTGAAATTTGAACACTTGGCAACGGGACATTTGCAGAAATGAAGTATTCGAGATTGGAATATTAATAACAATTCTGTTTTTAGGTTATTTCTATTTTCTGTTACGTTACTAAAGATTCTTTTTTTATTCATCTGCAGTATGTAGATATTAGGTGAATTGCTATAAATGATTAGAGGAGTATCTCGTAGAAAATATTTCTGTCGAGGCAGCGTCTTATCACTGAATAACTAGCTTCTCTGGTGGTACGAGAAAATTTGTGTACAATAAATGGATTCACAGGATAAATGAGATGGAAAAAACTGCAAATAATAAAAGGAAGTTTCAGGTTGATTAAAAATTTTAGAGTAAAAAATCATATTAAGGTCACGTTATTATGCATGTTTAAATGCACATCAATATCTGCTACAGCATACAGTAGACAAAATATATACATATATTGGGTTGCAACAAAAATCAGTAGCGCTTTTCACGACTCCATTCTCCCAGAATTTGGCATCTTTCTGGGCGATGAACTGGTTCAGGTGGTTTGACAATACTTTCAGGTAAAAAAAAAATAGGTAACCATGAAAAACAAATGGAATTTATAAAAAAATTTTTCTTCCATCTTATTCGCCCTTCAAAACCATTTAAATTACGTATAAAAATCTACAAAAGTCTAGAGAAGATGATTAGGTGGACCGTTTCACGTGGCCCACCCTGTATATTTGGCAATTTCCAAACACGTATGTAGATAAAGTCGTGAAGCAACTTATCGACAAGTTTACACTTCTTCTCACACGTTCATTCCCATGCAGAGTATTTACTTACCGATTTTTTGTAAGTCAGAGTGTCCGTGTAAGCACCAGAATTCTGACACGACGATATGCTAGTACCACCAGCATGACCCGTGTGCAGCTGATTATCGGTACTCATAAAAGTGTACCGTTTCGTTTGCTCGTTCATTTCGTTGTGCTGCTTCGACGAACCCTCCATCAGATCTCGTTCAGGATCTGGATTTTGGTTGGATGGCAAATGCGTCCCGTCACCTACGCAAAATCAATCCAAAATTGCAGAAAAAAAAAGAAAAAAGAAAATTTCCTACACTAATAAACAAATTTAGGATAAAGTACTACGATAGAAAATATCCGATAGAAAGAAAAAAAAAAAGAATTCAAAGCAACGGAAGTTGAAAATGCGACAACAATGGGAAGAACTTATCCGTATAATATAATTTAGTTATACAGATTTAATTCCTCAAGTTCCACGGCTGTCTGAACGGTAATTAATGCGAGTACAAGGTCTCACCATCTGGCTCGGGACTGGCAACTGGAGATATGTCCGGTGTGTGAATGATAGGCGTATAAGGACTACCGTACAAGGAATTGCTCTCCGATTTGTACTCCTGGATACCTTGCTGCTGCTGTTGGTGATACAGGGATGAGATCGGGGAATGGCCGCCCCATGGGATCTGAGGAATGCCTTGATAACTGTCCATCTTGGACCTTAAATAAACATCGAACGTCACTTCGTAATTCTTCCGTAGAACGTCTTTAAAGTAAATTCAATTTACCTGTTAGATAAATTGGAATGCAAGAAAATTCTGGGTGCCGATAATAGTATCTTTCTAGGGAACAATAGTAATATCTGTACACTTTCGAATATCTAACGAAAGGTATTGAGATTATCTCATACATTTGGATTCAAAATATCGAATACTTTATTTTATCTTGTTTCTGGGAAATTTGTATGTACATACATGTACCAATTAGAATGTAGCAAGGAAAATTATATTTTTCTTATTTCTAAGGAAACTTACTTTCTCGATATGCAGTTCTAAGAAATTGACTTTTTTTTAAGTTCTACGAAGAAAATTTTGAGAAAACAAGTGCCACTAAATACAGCTCTCGAAAGGCATAGGGGGAGTTCCCTTAACGCCGGACGGCACCTAATATCGGACATTGGTTATATCTGCAATAATTGAAACGCTACCGAGCCGTTATCCTGCGTATCTCCTAGAGGAGACAAGAGGAATGAAAATAAGTTTTCTACGCGTTTCAGTCGCGTGTGCACAGGTAGAGAGATTTATTTAAGGAAAACCTTAAGGCGCTAGGGGAACTCCCTCTGTATGTACCAAAGATTCTTTGAAGTAATAACTTTTCGAGAGTGTAAATCTGACAAGAAAGACAAAGAAAAAATAATTACCATCTTCGAATATGCAGATATTTACATAATTATACTTTCATAAATAAAATTCTCATGTAACAAAATATTTTTGACGATTTAGTTATATTTACTGTAATTTAATTTTTAAGTTAATTTATTTCATTCAAATTATAACAACTCCTCCTTTATACTATTTTCAGTACCGTTCATCACACACACACACACCTTACAACATTAAAAATAATTAGATTCAGCAGAACTTAGAGGCAAATTAGCTTGATTAAAACCCAATTCCAAACTTATACTACGTTTCATACACTACCGGCCAAAAGTATGGAATCACCTCCCACTTTTCATCAATATTAAATCTGCTGCTAATTTTTTATAGATTTCAAGTTTATCTCAATTCTACATTTATCAATTGATTCGAACGGTAAAAAATTCTCAAAGTCGCTGACTTTTTTCTGGAAATTTTTATGTAAATTGCGATGCTCGGTGATTCGAAACTTTTACACCCATCTTTCAGCGGGTACCGAGGCAAATATCATAAGAAAATTACAAGTTTATCTATAAAACTCCGAAAACAACTCCGAACCACGATACACCAGATAAAAATACTTTCGAAGTCTAAGCTGATCACGTTTCGTGGTTCACCATGTGTACGATTTTCCCAGAAGCCTAAATTTTTCTTCCAAAAACATTCGACAAGCATCTTCAAAATTGACAAATGTTTACACATTGCGACAAGAGTACACCCGAACAATTCAAACGAACCGTATTAAAACACCACGGTGAAACAACATTCGTGCCATGAAGCAAAATGAATTCGAACATCTCGATCGTACGAACACCTTGCACGCTCGATTAATTCGGCGGGCTCGCAGGGCTGATGTTGAAGAATCGCGTGGCGTAGGCAAAAATGAAAGAGGGAGAGAGAGAAAGAGATATCGACTTACATGGAATGATGAATCGTGGTACCAGAGGGGTTGGACCTATTGGCCGTGGTGTTGGTCGCGGATGGAGGGGAGGACGGCGCCCCTGGGGCTCGTTTCGCGTGTTTCCTGCGTCGTGGCCTGTACTTGTAGTTCGGGTGTTCCTGCATGTGTATGACCCTCAGCCTCTCGGCTTCCTCGACGTACGGCCTTCTGTCCTGCGGGGTCAACCCTCGCCATTTCTTTCCTGAAATACACGAGAGCCGTCCGTTAACCGGTGCCACAATTTTTCGAAACTACATCGAGCCGCGTTTCGGTACTCGGGATGCTTACCACCGGTGTTCCTGGATTTAGGGGGTGGCGTGAAAGGTAATAAAAAGTTGCATGAGTAATGTTACATGTGGATGTATCGTGTAAAGGGGAGAAGAAAGGATGTTGGATATGGTTGTTACGTTTTTTTTTTTTTTTTATTTCTTTTATTCTCAGATGGGGAATGGTATTTTCTATCTTTGCCGAAATTGGAGTTATTCTTTTCTTCTTTGTGGAAACGTTGGGTTAAAGTGGATTGACTTATCTGTAGTACAAGTTTTAAGGTTGGATAACTGAAATTTTGGAGTTTCTTGGAATTAGTATTGCATAGTTTTAAGTGTTAGAATTGTATTGTGAAAAATTCAGGTTTGATGTTTATTTAAGTACTTAGTGATATTTAAATAATTCTAAAGTTACTTAAATGGGAAATTGAAATTTAAGTTATTGATACTTAAGTAATTCGAAAAATTAAGTGTCCAAAAATTATTACCCAAATGTTAGAATTGTATTTCGGAAAATTGAAATTTAATAATTGTTTAAATACTGATGATAATTCTAAAAATTACTGATATTTAAGCAGTTCTAAAATCACCCAAATAAAGAAATGACATTTAAGTAATTTAAGTTATAGATATTTAGCCCTTTCTTAACTAGTGAGATATATATCTCCCACTTGAGTACTAGAACAAAAATTGATCTCAATTTAGTGTCCACTACAAACGAGGCGATCGTTGGATAAGTAACAATTAAAAAAAAAAAAAAAAATGGATCAGTTCGCGAAAGGGTTAAGTTATTCTAAGAATTATTACCCAAATGTTAAAATTATATTTCGAAAAATTGAAATTTAATAATTATTTGAATAATTCTAAACATTATGTGGGTATCTGTTGTGCAGCAATGAATCTATTTGTCAATAAGTTAGTATTTAACACAATAGAGATAAGATAAAATTAATGTATAAAATACATATATTCATGTCGATACGGTATAGTTTTAGAATTCGGATACATATTTTACGTTTCGATTGCCAACACGAGGAAACTGAAGCTCTGGCATTTAAATGTCAGAATAAAATCACTCAAAGTCCACCCAATGAAATATTTCAATTTCTGCCGTAAAACGTTTTACTAGAGAAAATTCTGGGAATATAGATTTATTGCTAAAGCAAGAAATTCGCCTCGTACGTTTCAATTCAGTCCGCCGCGGCGTGTACACGGGTAAGTACGGAGGTATAAACCTTGCGTGAATTTGTAATCATAAAAGACGCCATAAATTCGCGACCAGCTGTTACTTTCTTTCCCCATGGAACCCTATCAGCTCAACTGAACACCCACCGCGTGGATCGTGTAATTTCCAATCAATTACGAAGGTGAAAATGACAACTGAATAAAAAATACTCCGTGAAAAAAAAAAATATAAAGTACACTCGGTAATTAGGGGAAGAAAAAAGCGAAAGTATACATGATCATATTGTTCTTATACTGTACGTTGTTAAATTTGCGATTTTTTCATTTTTCAGTCAATCCGGGTCATTGGTGACCCAAGCGAAATTGTATTTCTTCGAAACGAATTTGTATTTTTATTGAGAAAGGTTTTAAGCAGTTCACTTAACGAACAATTGTACAGTGTACTATAGTAGAGACTTCAATAAGTATCTCTGAATTTTTTCAGATTTTTTGAAAGCCTAGAACAGTAAAAAATTAAACTCGAACATAAACGACCCGGTTTACCTACGAAGTGTGAAAAAATATGTTTGCCTACAGAGGGTTAATCTTTTTATCTTTTCACCTTGTTCGGTGTCAGTGAGATTTTATTGCTTTAAAATATACTTCGATAAATTCCTTTCGTCTCCTATCCTAACCGAACCCATGAATACCTTACCTCAAAGATCACACATCATTGCTCGTTTCTACTTTACTAAAACACAGACATGGTATAGAGTAGACCAATCATTTTATGAGACTTTTTGTCACACGATCTGAAATACCAACGTCGCGTCGTTCAAAACTACTGGTTTGGAAGCGCGCTCTATGCTTCAAGAACGGTCATTTTAAGAACTGCATCGCGCAAAACGATCGATATAGGTAATCTGCACATTCGTTACTCTGCTGTCAATACACCCCTGTGTGACTCCATCCATTCTAATTCATCCTAAGATTCGAAATTTTCTCTACATCGTTACTTAAAACACAAATACCAAGTGAATTCTCGATTTCAATTCCTACCGCTAATAACGCACCGACACAGTAGAATAATAGTAACAGGGTTCCAGGACCCCGTGGCCGTGCGACGAAAAAATACATTGTACGAACGGTCTACTCTGTATCTCGTCTGTGGCTAAAGTTCGCGAACTGAAAAAGGCAATATCGACGGCGTTATTTCGAGGATCGATAAGAAAGAGACTCTGAGAGAGCGGCGCGGTACGCTTGCTGATTGGCTGGCGATACTCTTAATTCCGGCTACGAGGCTGGCCCCTAATTGCCCGCTACGTGGCTAGTGCTTCGCTTGGTCGTCGGTAGAGGAAGTGGAAAAATGGTCGGACGAGCGAGTAGATACGAATTACAGGAGAGGGCTTGGCCGGCCGGCCAGCCAGCCGGACGACGATGCACTGTGGAATCTGCCTTAGTTGCGTTCAATATGCCCGTCCGGGCATGGTAGGCCGGAATATCATTAAGCAGGGATAAGGGTTAATACGAACGTAAGATGTTCACGACAAGAACGAAAAACTTGAGCGAGGCGGATGTATATGGTGTGCACGTACATATGTACACGGGATCGGCGTATACACGGGCCCCGTATAGGTACATAGGCGCATGGGGGCGTAGATATGGGTGCGCCCGTGCCTTTAGCCAGCCACAAGGCACGAACCATTATTTCATATTTCATTTTGTATATTTCAACTCCGGAGGAGACGCTAACCCGAACGACTCTTGGCTTGCAAGAGGGAGACAGAAGAGATAAAGAGGAGAAAACGAATGCTGACTGGAGAGAGTGAGTGAGAGAGAGAGAGAGAAGATAGAGAAAGAAAAAATGGTAAAAGAATATATACGTAGAAAAAGATCGTCGCAGGGTCCTCTAGGTCTGCCTGTAAAGTCCATTTTTGTCGCCCTGAGTCTCTTTCTTGCCTCGATCCTTCTTTCTGCTTCCTCTCTTTCTTTCCCTGCGAGTCGAACGACGCAGAACCTCGCCGCTGCCCTTTTTTGCGCGCTGCGCGTAGTTTTCGTCGCGACAGCAACCGGGGTTGACGCGGAGAGGTTAAGTCTTGCGGTGTTGCCTCTGAGGTTCGGTGGAATCTCCTTTGTCGCTTGTCTCTTTGTATGAAGGGTTTTTGCGAGGGGGGAAGGAGTTGAGATTTTTTCAGGATAATGATTTTTTGCGATGAATTGCGCGGGATTGAAGGGGGCTACTTTGTTGGGAAGGTTTATGTAATGAATCTGTTATTAACCTCTACCGGTTTCTTATGGTCAATGGAGAATTCATGCTGAATTTAAGAATTATACCGTTGGAAGCAGGTTTTTTTGTATTGTTTGTAAATTAGCGAAGGTAGAAATTATTTGGAAGATTGTACTTGTTCAAATTTGGTTGTTATAAAAGAAAAGTATTTAAATTGTACAAAATAATAGATAAAGCACAATGTTCATTATCTATGATTTTCAGTGTAATACATATTCCTCAATTTTTAATGCTAGTCCAATATTTCAAGCACAAGAATTATTATAGAGTTTCAGTACATGATACTACACTGTGAGAAAGTCTATGATTTTTGTACAGCCTCTCTGAAAAGATATAAGTGTCATACATTATGTTCTAAAGTACTGAAGTTAATACTGTTGCCATTAATCTTTACCTAATAATGTCAGAATGATTTACATAGCCATTTCAAAGTATCTTACCTAATTGATTACAGCAAATGGATATTGTACACACATTTTTACACCTTATAATCTTAAAATAAGTTTAACTTCAACAGAAATGTGGTCAGATGTATGACTAGATACACTGAATGTTTCATTGAACGTTTTGATTAGAATCAAACTACATTTGCCTTACTAATTACCTAACAAAGTATTCGTTTTATCTAATCAAGTATCAATGTGCCTTTAGCAGTGGAAGTAAAAAAGCTAAATCACATTTTTGTATTTCCTGAAAAATCTTACAAACCTTTCTACATTCTATTACTCTAGCAATCAGTGCATAGGAACTTAACATAGCATATAGATTGTAATGGATAATAAATCTCTGCTACAACAAATTATTTCACATCTTACAAATATCAAATCCTTTCTATTCCATCACACAGAAGGTTTCACAAGTTACCAAATAAACTTCTTCAAACTATCAAAACTGAAGAAGAAGAAGTTGCAAAAAAAAGGAATACTTTGACACAACTTCCCATCCACCACTGCACTCGCCATACCCACGTCATCGCGAAGCAACGAATGTCCCCGACGACAAGGAGGACAAGAGGAAGGAAGAAAGAAGGAGGGTCGAAGAAAAGAAGAAACCGCAACTCTTTTCTTCTTTTCAGCTCGTGTCCTCCAGACTTTCCACCCTCGTCGCGGTCTGACTCGTCCATTTGCTTCCGCGTGTTTCGCGGAAACAGTGAAATCATTGGGGCGAAGCCTACGGGCTGGGAGTATAGAAACAGACGAAGAGGGAGAACCGTGGGGGAAGAAGAGACGGCGCCTGAAACTTTTTGGCCGACAATAAGTAAACTTAATTTAATATTCCTGGGCGCGCTCCACGGTGAGCTAGCCGGCAGTGATTCATCATCACACCCGCGCACTGCTTCCCACCATGACGTCCTCGTTAAGTATTCTAATGGTTGCCGTGTACCTCTAATTTACCCTGCTCTCGGCCCTAGTCAGACGACTTCATTAATTTCAATGTTTCGGTCAAAAGCAGGCCGCGGTCGGATTGGAAACGCTTTGGCCCCTT